ACACCAAGAGTGGTGATTTATTAAAGTTATATAATATATACACCAAGAGTGGTGGGTGTTTATTAAAGTTATATAATACACCAAGAGTGGTGGGTGTTTATTAAAGTTATATAATACACCAATAGTGGTGGGTGTTTATTAAAGTTATATAAAACACCAAGAGTGGTGGGTGTTTATTAAAGTTATATAATACACCAAGAGTGGTAGGTGTTTATTAAATTTATATAATACAACAAGAGTGGTGGGTGTTTATTAAAGTTATATAATAAATACACCAAAGTGGTGAGTGTCTATTAAAGTTATATATACACCAAGAGTGGTGGGTGTTTACTTGAGTTATATAATACATCAATAGTAGTGGGTGTGTACTATAGTTTTATGATACACCAAGAGTGGTGAGTGTTTATTAAACTTATATAATACACCAAGAGTGGTGGATGTTTATTAAAGTTATATAATACACCAAGAGTGGTGGATGTGTTCTATAGTTTTATGATACACCAAGATTGGTGGATGTGTTCTATAGTTTTATGATACACCAAGAGTGGTGGATGTGTTCTATAGTTTTATGATACACCAAGAGTGGTGGGTGTGTTCTATAGTTTTATGATACACCAATAGTAGTGGGTGTGTTCTATAGTTTTATGATACACCAATAGTAGTGGGTGTGTTCTATAGTTTTATGATACACCAATAGTAGTGGGTGTGTTCTATAGTTTTATGATACACCAAGAGTGGTGGATGTGTTCTATAGTTTTATGATACACCAAGAGTGGTGGGTATTTACTAGAGTTATATGATACACCAATAGTAGTGGGTGTTTACAAAAATTATATGATACACCAATAGTAGTGGGTGTTTACAAAAATTATATGATACACCAATAGTAGTGGGTGTTTACTAAAGTTATATACACTAAGGATGTAGGGTATTTTATTAACCATGAGTTTACGGGTCCCCTTTCTGCGCATGTCATAAGATTTTACTTTGTTACATTCAAAACTTAATTAAGCGATTAATGTATGCCAGTGAAATTAGCATTAAACTTTACATTATATTATCTAAGTTTTAATTCCTTTATTTCAAACGAAACCTTAGAGAAAATGTCTTAAACTTCAGTTTTTGTTCTCACAGTGTTGCTTAAACTAAAGTTATGTGAAGAAAACAAGGTATACTAATGTTATATGATCCACTAAGGCCGAAGAAAACAAGGTATACTAATGTTATGTGATCCACTAAGGCAGAAGAAAACAAGGTATACTAATGTTATATGATCCACTAAGGCCGAAGAAAACAAGGTATACTAATGTTATATGATCCACTAAGGCCGAAGAAAACAAGGTATACTAATGTTATGTGATATACTAAGGCAGAAGAAAACAAGGTATACTAATGTTATATGATCCACTAAGGCCGAAGAAAACAAGGTATACTAATGTTATGTGATCCACTAAGGCAGAAGAAAACAAGGTATACTAATGTTATATGATCCATAAGGCCGAAGAGAAGAAGGTATACTAATGTCATGTGATCCACTAAGGCCGAAGAGAAGAAGGTATACTAATGTTATGTGGTCCACTAAGGTCGAAGATAGGATGGTATACTAATGTTATGTGGTCCACTAATGTCGAAGAGAAGAAGGTATACTAATGTTATATGATACACTAAGGCCGAAGATAAGAAGGTATATTAATGTTATGTGCTCTTCGGCCTTAGTGGACCACATAACATTAGTATACCTTCTTTCTTCGGCCTTATGGACCACACAACATTAGTATACCTTCTTATCTTCGGCCTTAGTGCATCACCTAGAATTAGTATACCTTCTCCTCTTCGGCCTTAGTGGACCACACAACATTAGTTTACCTTCTTCTTTTCGGCCTTAGTGGATCACATCACATCAGTATACCTTTTTATCTTCGGCTTTATGGACCACATAACATTAGTGTACCTTCAAGAAGGTATACTAATGTTATGTGGTCCACTAAGGCCGAAGAGAAGAAGGTATACTAATGCTATGTGATGCACTAAGGCCGAAGATAAGAAGGTACACTAATGTTATGTGGTCCATAAAGCCGAAGATAAAAAGGTATACTGATGTGATGTGATCCACTAAGGCCGAAAAGAAGAAGGTATAATAATGTTGTGTGGTCCATAAGGCCGAAGAGAAAAAGGTATACTAATGTCATGTGGTCCACTAAGGTCGAAGATAAGAAGGTATACTAATGTTATGTGGTCCACTAAGGCTGAAGATAAGAAGGTATACTAATGTTATGTGGTCCACTAAGGCCGAAGATAAGAAGGTATACTAATGTTATGTGGTCCACTAAGGCCGAAGATAAGAAGGTATATTAATGTTATGTGGTCCACTAAGGCCGAAGATAAGAAGGTATACTAATGTTATGTGATCCACTAAGGCCGAAGAGAAGAAGGTATACTAATGTTATGTGGTCCATAAAGCCAAAGATAAGAAGGTATACTAATGTGATGTGATCCACTAAGGCCGAAAAGAAGAAGGTATACTAATGTTATGTGGTCCACTAAGGCCGAAGATAAGAAGGTATACTAATGTTATGTGGTCCACTTAGGCCGAATATAGGAAGGTATACTAATGTTATGTGGTCCACTAAGGCCGAAGATAAGAAGGTATACTCTAATTATAGGATTCACCAAGAATTAAACTGTGTAAGAGAAGGTTGGATGTACTGAGAATAGAAGGATTTATGACAACGTTGTTTATGCTAAGTTATGACTACATTAATAAGCACAACACATTAGCTTGTCAAGCAGAGTTCGTACATCATGTTGCTTCTCTGTTTCTTGCTCTTTGTGAGTTATTTGTCTTCATTTTTGTGCTTGAAGTCTGGTTTGACGTTGTTCAAAAATGTCTTGTTGTCTATATCCAGCTTGCCTTAATGATTCTGAATGAACTCTGACTTTGTGCTGTTCAACAGTTTCTTGCTGTCTTTGAGTAGCCTGCCTTTCGGCTTGAGCTCGAAGTCTAACTTTACGTTGTTCCAAAGTCTCTTCCTGTATTTGAGCAGCCTGTCTTGAAGCTATTGCTTGAAGTCGTTGATTGCGTTCTTCTTCTGTTTCAGCTGCTCTTTGTGCTTGCATTCTTTTAG